TAGGACTTTTGGCCAACGCATTGTTCTTTCTAGGTCATGCAGCCCCTTGCGGTGAGCACCATGCGAGTGACAGTTCGATGTCAAGTCCATAGCAAAGTAAAGGCAACTCTCTGCAGGTTTCCCAAAATCCAAGGTAATTCAAATGGTGGTTGCTGCGCCTAGTTGGAGTAACCGAGAATTGATGAATCTTTAACTAATTCGGTCCTTCGCTGGTTCGACATTAATATGCCATTGATAGCTTATGTTTGCTATTGAAGAAAGCTTAGGGTCGGTATATGTTATGCAGTCCTTTAACACAACCGAGCAGCACCACACCCTGGTTGCCATTATTGTTATTTCACCAAGGAGGACAGAGGCCAGAAAACATTAAAACTTACGCATTCCTAGGTTAGTTATTTGAAATGTAAAACAGCAATCGTAATAGGTTATTTCAGACAACTGTTACCCCATTATGAGGACTCTGTACCATCACTGTGACCCAGTCTGCTGAACGCCGGTTAAGTGGACGTCACATACAGTACGGCCTAGAATTCATGTAACAAGCCGACATATGGAAAAGATTGATAGGCTCTCGCTAATTGGCATCGAGTAAGGTTGTAAGAGTGAGTATCATGAAGTCTATTCTGAAGTGATTTCAGTCACGATATGATGTCGGCTTCTTGCCGAGCTTTGTTCTGACCGCTGACAAAACGTATGTACTGTAAAAAGTGGCCACTTTATTAGTATGCATTCGTATCATTGACTTTAACAGGCTTTATAAATTCAAAAATATTTTATGGAAAACAAACGAAAAAAGTTATTTCTTGTAGTCGTTTGGTAGAAAGCAACGCCTTTTTTACATGTTATACTTAAAAGAAGGGTATCTTTCGGTTTTAAAAAGTTTCGAAATTGCCGAATAGTTTTGAAACCTTCTGACTGCTACACTTGAATTGAATGTTTAAAAACTGCACGTTGTCTACATCCCGTTTAAGGGAAAGTACGTTTTCGCCTACGATCTGAGGAAGAAGTCACATAGTTCTCATAACATTTTGCAATAGATGTGGATCATGCTGTATACATTATAGGCAACATTCCCGAATGAATGAGAAGGTTCGCGATCCAGGTATTTGCATGGATGGTAACATTAATAAATTGACGGATACGATGTATTATGAACGAACACCTCACAATCGTAAAAAAACTCATGATTAGAACTTTTCTAAAGCCGAAAGATACCCTTTCCTTAAGAGAAGACGTAATTTCCTACCAAAGGAGTACAAGAAAAAAACTGTTTCGTGTAGGTTTACCATAAAATATATTTGAATTTATGAAGACAGTCAAAATCAATGATAAAAATGCATACTACTTAAGCAGCCACATTTAACAGCACGTACGTTTTGTTAGCTGTCAGAGTGAAGCTATTTAAAAAGCCGGCTTCCTATCGTGACTGAAATGACTTCAGGATTGACCACATGATAATCAGTATTAACACCTTACTCAATGCCGATTATCGAGAGACTATCAATTTTTCGCATATGTCGGCATGTTACACGAATTAAAGTCCGTACTGTAGGTCCACTATTGTCTAGAGAAGGATGCAAGTGACAGTGACCTGCATATGAACTGGTATACTGACGAAGCAGTAAAAAGCTGCATCGACCTCGTTCTCCTCTCCACCATATTCCACCTTTCATTAACTACAAAAAAGTTGGGACAACCAAAGATATGCGTGGACGCAGCAACTACTGAGACGGAGCCTTCCTTTGCGTCCGCAGCACACAAGCACGCTTCTACCAACCTGGACACGAACCAGTCTTGAAGGACGCCTGTCTCAGATCCGCCATCGAGCCGAGGGGCTACGAACATAGCGGACCAGTTATGTTAATTAGAAATCTTGTTCGGAAGGAGCTAAGTGTTATCTTGTCAGCTGGCTCGGTTTGTTGTTGCTGCGTCAGTTTGCAGACTTTTCGAAACAGTTAGTTATACAATTCCTTTACATCACTCGTTTTAAAGAAGCTCTGGAAACCTGCTTTGTTTTTTTGCAGCACGGCCACATGCCCGATCTCCGTCACCAAGTAGTAGGCTTTTTGTGGTTCTTCCGTTTTAGTCATTTGCGTCAACAACAGCAGCAGCAGCAACAGCAGCAGCAACGGCAACAGGGCGTTTCCAACATCCTCTCAGCTTTCGACTACGAGAAGGCTCGGTCGTTTACCTCCGACGCGACCAGCCAGCCCCCAAAATCCCTTCACCAGCAGCACCTTGACGCGATGCATGCATCCGGGTCTGCCAGTCGTC